ATAAAAAAAAGAAAGCAGAGCAGAATGTCCTTTATAAACAGAAAATGTGCAGATAAGTGCAGGTAAGTAAGTACACAGTGTTAAACGATACAAGAGCCCTGATTATAGCCTTGGTTCTCAAAGATAGATTTTTCAATAGTCCTAATTACAAACAGGATTGTACATGGCTTTGAGCACTGAATATAACTTGGTTCAGCTGACAATGGCCATCTAAAGTAGCTTTTGGATATTTTCCCACTGGCCTGCCTGTGTGTCAGTGTAGATGAGCCAGGCAGCTTTTGGCTGCAGAAGAAAGGTGTCCTGGTGAGTAGGTGGCTCTGAGGCTGGAGGCTTCGGTGAGAGCAGCAGATGGATGATGATGTAGCGGGTACTGGCGCTCCCTGCCTCCCGCCGCCATCCGTCACGCGCTAATGATCGTGTCACACCTTCTCCCCGGGCGGCCGGCCGCTTCTGCAGCGCTCAGCTCAAAAACTGGTAGCTCCACTCAAATCCCCTCTCCATGGCCGCCGGCTGAAAAGCCCGGAGACAGACTGTGCTGCTTCACTTCTCTCTTTCTCCACCGCCTTCCTTCACCCCTCTTCACCTTTAAAGTCCCTGCAGACTGTTTCCTCGTCTCTCTTCATCCCTCGCTTCCCTCGCCTCCCATTCATCTTGTTTTCTCCGTAGTGCATCTGCTCCACATCGTTCTTTTTCCCTCCGTCCGCTTCTGTCACGTTCCCATTCTCTGGTGCTGCTGTTGCTTCACAGCTCCAATACAGTTCAATTCTTTTTCTTTCTTTATCGACATTCTTTAAATGTAATGATTGAAGGAGACGTGTGGTGTTTTCCTCGTCAGGTCTAAGGTCAGGGTCATTTGCAGTGCAGCACACATGGACATTGGCCTCAGCACATTAGGGAGTCTCCCAAGTTATTATGTCCTAAAGAGTGTTAAGGTATCTCCTGCGCAGTATGAATAAACCCACCACGCTAAGACAGTCAGACTGTGCTCCAATTATATAGAACATTTCCCCCATTAATGAATTATTCATCGTATATCAATAAAAAAACATTTTTGCTATCATACCTATTATCCAAATTACACTTAGTTTATAATTATATTGTATTTATTTTGACAAAGACGTTTTAATGATGTAGTATTGAGATTTGAGTCTCTCCTCCACACTAAGAATATTTTCTCCAGGTGGCTTCCTGCTGTCATGTGTTGTGTTTCATTGAGGTGACATGGGAAGTAAACACCACTCTGGTTACACATAGACTGATGGAGGTCTTTTTAAAAAGAAAACTGCTGTTATCTCCAGTTGGGTGTTAAATAACCATGTTATGGGACTCAGCATCCTCTTAGCTCGTTATTCTGTCCCTGGTGTTACAAGAATAAGTGTCCCCTTGAGCCGTGTGTTACAGCAGAATGTGTCCCCACTGAATGCAGGTGGAATGCCGCTTCCTCTTGTGTGTGTGTGTTTGTCTCTTTGGTCTCGCCAATCTCACCACTGGGATCAGAGACTGAGCTTGGCATTCTGGGAATATAAGTGCTGGCGTATCGGATGATGCTCTCCACAGCTGCTGTTTCTAAGAAAAGCTTGAGGACACACACACACACACACACACACACACACACACACACACATTAGACATGTGTTCACATGAGCTACACACACAAATACCATATCCAAGAGCAGACCTGTATGTTACCGTCACACAGGCACACTTACAGTAATACACTTTAAGCGGCAATTAACTGTCAAGCCAGGAGAGCATTTGTGGAGCCTAGACAGAGGTTAACACACACACACACACACACACTCATACACACAAACATAAGCTTAGCTACTTGATGTCATTTCCAGCAGCCATGCTTTTATGCTCCGGCAACTGTTTGATATAAGTGTGTGTGTGTTTGCACGTATGTGTTCGTGTGTGAGAAACAGTGTGTTTCTGTTGTACAATGACCACTAACACAGCTTTCTTTCCTGTGTTTTTCGATCTCTTCAGGCTGTTTTCCGTTGACCAGTAAAGAGCCGGCAGAGAGAGGAACAGTAGAGAAGGCGAGCACGGGCGGAGAGGATAATTGCGTTTCTGGCTGCCCTGTGGGAACATGGGATATATGACCTCATCATTCACCTGCGAGGCTCTCCAGTAAACAACTCCAAATAGGTAGAAATGGCACACACACACACACACACACACACACACACACGCATACGTAGACTCGTGTAAATGCAGGCAAATTTAAACAGCAGTAAAATAAACAAATGCAGACTTTATTTGAGTAAATCAGAGTCTATGTTTTGTGTTGTTTAGAAGGATGACGGAAGCAGTTGTAGAAAGTGCAGATGTCCTCCTAAAACCCTGTGACGTGACATCGTGTGATGTCATCAGCTGCCCCTCCCCTTCGCCATGTCCATCCGTCTGCAAACAAAAGGAGGACGAGGAGTATCACCATGACAGTAAGAAGCTGGAGCAGCAGGTGAGTGACAGGAAATAGAGCTAGTGCTATGTTCCATCTAATAATATACCAATGTCAGAATTATGCAGCACACTCCTCACGTGCTCACTTTATCACAAATTGTGTCCTCACGCGCAGAAACACTGTAACCAGGTGCAACCAAAGAAAAAAGTTAAGGTAAGCAAAAATAATTCTGCCTCTCATTATTCATTCTTACTGAAATATCGATTGCATTAACCTCTATGAATGTGTAATATTGTGCTTGTGTGTGTATGTCAGGCCAAAGGAAGGTTAGTGCGGAGTATGGCCGTCTGCGAGGAGTCCTCACCATTTGAAGAAACCCAGGTAACACACACACACACA